TCATAATAGTAGATCGGTAATAAATTGTAGTTGGATGTTAATTTTTCACTCATAATCTATAATTTTGTATTTTTGGGTCAGTATTTGACGTTAATTAACATGAAATTAAATGGGCGTTTTGATACATAAGGTAAGACAAATCAGTGGGTGCTAGTTTGGTCCCTTCTCTTGTCGTCTTGGAAATCTAATCAATAGAGACATAAATGCAGATCTCTTGACTACATCGGTCCATATGAGGTGGAGCTTTCTGTGAACTTCGATATTTAATTCCCACATGGGTCCCACTACGATCGGACGGTGGAATCTTTCCCTTCTCCTATTTACTCTCATCTTCCCAGGAACGAGCCTCCGCGGACCACCACTAATTCACTCCCACGACGGGCCCATAACTTAGGATCCTCGTTTCTAACCCGGGTTTGCAGGTCGCCGGTAAGTCTGGTGGGCCCGCCCAAGATAATAAAAATTATTGGAGATAAAATAATGTTTAATAATAATGAATGTATGTAGATCTTTTAATTCTTAGAAGTAAAATATTGGACATAAATTTTTTGTGATTATATTCTTTAAAGAGGTTAGTTGGAAATCAAGTTTTAGTGAAATTCTAGGTGTGAAGCATCACCATATTATAAATGCAATACTAAAAAAGGGTCATCTAAATTGTACACTCTTTTAAAGAAGAACAAATGAGAAAGGAGTGTTGTAAGAGTATGAGTTTAAATTGTCAAAAAGAGTGGAGCAAAAGATGAAATAATTGATCACGGAAAGCGATGGGAGGCAGCCACGACGCAAGTGAAAACGCGTACACTAACAGTAATACTGCGCTCTGCTTTGGTTTGCTTTGCTCCATTCCATCGCCATGTGAGGCTGACCTATTTAAAAATGTATTCCTCATCCCCACCTTTTGCATTGACATCCTCCCTCACTCCCCCACTTCCTTCTACTTCACTCACTCTTCGAATTCAGCGGCTCTTGCAGAGGAGAACCCAGATTTCAGAAATGGTGGGTTTCAGAGCTTCCAAGGTATTTATGCTCTTTCTTGTTTTGGTCCTTTTTGCTGCGGCTTCTCGCTTATGTGTGCGCGCACAATCTGAATCTCCAAACGGAGGGTTGTTTCGAGGAGGAGGAGGAAGGAGAGTTTTGGAGGCGGTGGAAGAGGAGCACGCCAAGAACAAGAACAAGAAGTCCACCGATGCCTTACCGACCAAAACTCAGAACAAGCTCCTTAAACCTCCCACCCAATCCTTAAAAAACCAGACCAAGCTCATTAGCAACAATTTCTCCACCAAAAACAAGACCATGCTTGGTAAAGCTAAGAATTCCACGGAACTGGCATCTGGTGGTAACCTGTCCAAGGTTGGGCTGAAGAAGCTCAATGCCACCGCCAAGTTCCCAAAGCTGAATTCCACATCGAAATCCTCCAATTCTACCAAAACCACTTCGTTCTCTGCCAAGAAATCCTCAGATCTACTCAAACTAAGCACACCCAAGAACAAAACGACGACGCCCAATTCCACAAAGCAATCCCAAACCACCCATCTCGACAAATCAGAGAACAAACCGAAGCAGGAAAAACCCAAGAAACAAGCTCAGACCAAAGCAAAAGCCAGTTGGGTCGACGAAGATGAAGACGATGATTTGGTGTCGGAATTCAGAGATCTAACCACGAAATTTCAGAAAACTTTGATCCCAGACCTTGCGAGAATCTCCACCACTTCCAAGGCATACATTACGAAAGCCAACAAACAAATGACAATGGGATTTAAACCCATTGTGGGTAACAAGTATGCATCCACCATCGCTTCCCTCATCTCCTTCGCATTCATTTTGATTCCGTTAATCTTGGTGAGTCTTTTATTCAATCGAATCAAGGCTTATTTCTCACTCCAAAAGGTCCTAATCTTCATCCAAGTGTACCTTGCAATCTACTTCGGCATCCTCTGCTTCTCCTCCGTGGTCACTGGGCTGGAGCCGCTCAAATTTTTCTACTCCACCTCGCAATCCACCTACATTTGCTTACAGGTGATGCAAACCCTTGGATACATCCTGTATCTGCTGCTACTTGTGATGTACCTGGTGCTAGTGTTCTCCACCGACTGTGGGATGGGGTCCAGGATGTTGGGTCTGGCACAGACCTTCGTCGGGTATGCAGTCGGGTTGCATTACTATGTGTCGGTGTTCCACAGGATGGTTCTACACCAGCCGCCCAAGACAAACTGGAAAATTCATGGGATTTACGCCACGTGCTTTCTGGTGATTTGCGCGTTCGCGGGGGCGGAGAGGAGGAAGAAGGCCTACTTGGAAGAGGACGGAGCAGAGGGCAAGAAGAGTTGATTCAATTGAATGAAGAATTTTTTTTTAAAAAATTTTAAAAATTAAATCTTTGTTGTTTCGTCTTGAATCTCTTACTGTTTATTGTTGGGCATTGTAGCACCACCCCAATTGATGAAAACCAAAGCAAAAGAAGGGTGCCATTGGGGTAGCCTATTATTACATCACATTATTGTTGGCAAACAAAAGTAGTTATTTCTTTGACTTTTGGTACTCAACTCTGAGTCCGGTGATATAAAAAGACGTTGGATTTGGCCCTTTGGGGGTCCATTGGGATTGGAAGAGTAAATTGCAGAGTGAAATGGGGATTGGTTTTGTCTGTTTTAGAAGATGGGAAGGCGTTGTGTCGGTGGCTGTCGGTGGCTGCGTTGCGATGGGGGCTATTTTTATTTAATGTACCCACCGACTTTTGAACGTTGAAATGCGGCTACTTGTTTCATTAACACACCCGCGATGGGGGACCTTCTACCCCTCCAAATTGCCTCTCCTAGGATTTATAATACCCACCTACCTTTCTTACAAATTCACGTTTTCCAAGTTCCAATCTCGGTTCCATTATGGAACTTCGATAATATACTACGGGTTCGCTTTTAAAAATAACTTAAATTATTTACCCCTTTTGGGACCTAACGTCCTTACCGGCACACCGCCTCGTGTCTACCCCCTTCAGAGAACAGCGAGAAGGCTGACACATTGTCCAGTGTATGGCTCTGATACCATTTGAAACGACTCAGACCCGCCGCTAGTAGATATTGTCCTATTCGAGCTTTCCCTTTAAGGCTTCCCCTCAAGACTTTAGAGCGCCTATGGTAGGAGAAGGTCTCCACCCCAACTAACGTGTGACAACACAATTCCAGTATCAATTCCTAAGTGGGATCAGTCAATTGGGTTAGCTCCAAAGTGGGACCAATGTGGGATCACTATTTAGAAGATGGAGTTGGTGTATGGGTTGACCTGTTTGACCTATGCTTACTCATTCGCACATTTCTCATGTCCGTATTAGGGAATGTGGAATAAATTAAGAGGATGTTATTGCTAATAATAAAAATAATATTTTTAATGCCATGTTGATATTTATTATATACTTGTCCTAGTCATCCTCTTGTCATCTTTTTATGCATAATAATATTTAACAGAAAAATTAAATTAAAATCAAAGATGGTCAAACTAATGCAAATGTTTGTAAGATAAATTAAAAAGATATATAGTAACAGATCATAGCATTGATTATTTTAAAAGTAGACTATAGTTTAATAAAAGTGAGACATTGCGAAGGAAAAAATGGGTAAAATTTGAAGGCCCAAATGAGTTGGGTAGGTGGAAGAGGTGGATATAAAGGGAGGGAGTGTGTTGGGGGCCCAAATGGGCTGGTGCTGGTGAAACGGAAACAGGAGGAAGGCGCTGCCGCTGGTCCCCTTCCGAAGCTAAGTCCCAACTCTGGCGCTCTGTGACTTCACCATTTGCTGCGCATTTAGAGATTTCAGTGAAAGGGACGTCACTTCACACTCACCTGAAAAACATTGGCCTTTCCTTCGTTGCAGTCCAGTCCAGTCCAGTCCACTTCTTATTTCGAAACCCAATTGACACATAGAGAGAGGTCCATCCATGTCATGTCACAACTTCTAGGAGTTTGTCTTCTTCCTTCTATTATAGTGCGCTACCTGCCACTCCCTGACCCCACCCTTCCACCTTCCTCTGTCGGCTCCTGTCCTTCAACCTTCCCATCCATTTCTCTTCTTCCCGCTTTCATTTCATTTCAAATATCTCTGTGGTGTACATGTGATCATCAAATACTTTTGGCCTAATCAATACGACACCTTCAACTCCATCTACCCTTCTCCTAGATGCAACTGTCAACACCCAAGTGAAATACAAGACTACGCTACAACCCACTTTATTTGATTTCCATTAAGAAGCGTGCAAGCCCCCGAGGTTGTGCACCAACCCAACCCAACCCACTCGATTTGGCAAAGAATTCAATTCTAAAAGTGCAACATTTTTGGTCATTCCATCTTGGAACCATCCCTCACAAATTATAAAACTTTCCATTTAGGCTTTCCTTTTCCACTTCCCCAAATTCTGCAAGGGTAAAAATGGGTAGAAATAATTCAATTTCATTGCCACTCTCTCGTTTACTTTTTTATAATAGGGGTAACAATAATTTTTGTAAATAAGTGGTGAAAATAATGACCACATTCAACGTCTTACAAAAGTACTTCGGTTGGGTTGGCAGTTCCTCATTTACTCATTTTATTTTTTTATTCGTATTCAATTTTTGGAACATTCTAGGGATATTAATGTAATTTCACCTTCTTCAATTTGAAACGGTAAAATTGACAGGCGTGTAAGGAAATGGGCCAGCCTCGGAAGCTAAAAGGAAAACCCTAATAATAATGGAAAAATAAGTCTGGCCCACTGGGCCCGTCTTCTTTTTTTTTTTTTTTTTTTACCTCAAAGAACACTATCCTTCTGCAGCAATATTCTCACGCGCACTTTCTCGCGTGGTACTCTGCACCCATTTTTAGTGCGAGACTGCAACACATTTTCACGTGTGACATCACAACTGTACGTTAGATTCCACTGTGGTGCGCGTGGGCCTTTCTTGGTTGTTTGTGGAAATTAAAAATTTTAGCATTGACAGCGCTTAGCTATTACATTGCGAGATCTTCTTGATTGTCGGAATCTAAACGCCAAAACGTCGTCGTACCGCCCACCACCACCGTCTTCTCTCTCCCTCCCTTCAGTCCTCATTTTTGTAGCAGAGAGCTCTGAATTGAATCAAGACGGAACGCTTTCCTGAATTTTTGAATTTTTCCCTTTTTCCCCTTTAGCCTTTTCTCGTTGTCGCTGACGATCACTAGCTCGCTACTCAGCTCATTACAAGCAGCTTTATTATTATTATTATTTTTGGCTCCGAGGTATCTCCTTCGGACCTGCTATTTCATTGTTTTCTAATTGTGATTCCTCGATGTCTGGAAAAGAATAAAGATAACAGTATGGTTGAATCCCAGTTGCTTCTTTAATTTTTGTTTCTGATCATTTTTTCTTCTCTTTCAAATATCCAATTTTCGTTTGGTCCTTTTTTTTTTGTCTGGGCTTGGACTTTTGGTCGTTGGTTTTAATTTTAACGTTTTTATTGCTTAAAGCTGTCGCCTTCAGATCTGTGTACGTATACCAAGCACAACAACTATAGGGCTATGCTAGAATCAAGCTAGTTCCTTTTTTGAACTCCTCTAAATTCTCAGGTCAATTTCACTCTTCTTTTCAGTACAATTTTGTTGCTCAAAAGTAACGCGACCCAATTCTTCATTGATCTGGAAAGCTGCCTCATTTACATAATTTCGTTTTCGCCTCTGATGCGGAGTGTTCTTAGTTTAACTCGATTTTGCTCTAGTTTTTGGAATTTATAACAGCGATTTTGTGCAAATATCGGTGTGTTCTTGTAGTTGTACGGTATGCTCTAGACTGCAATTTAGTGTTCTGTAAAAATCTGTGATTTCATGTATTTGATGAATGAATGAAACAGATAATCGGGTTGATCTGAAAGAGAGATGTGATTTTGTGAAGGGGTAGAAAAGATTTGAATATTTGTTGCTGATACTGTTTATCTGGTTTAGATGAATTGTTGTGTGTCTGATATTCTGCTATCTTATTTTATTTGCAGTCTTGTTGATTTTGTTTGAACCAACTGAGTAATGAGACTATAGTTGTTGCCCTTCTGATACTTTACGTCGTTGCGAGTATGGAGAAAGCATCTGCAGATTGTCCTTATCCAGGATGTTTTTTTTGCGTTATGAAAGAAGGTAATCCTAGTAAGCGCAGAGCGAGTATCTTGAAATTCTTTAGGGAACTTCCTTCTCAAGATGATGATGGTCAAGTTCTCCCCATTAGTGGCCTTTGGAACACAGCAATGGCACATCCTAATGATCCTGAGTTTATTGAATTGGGGATATTTGAGTGTATGGCTGCACTTATATGGAAGGGACTGAAAAATCGCCGCTGGCTTTCTCATGACCAAAACATTTACATTCCGTATTACGCTGCACATATCATTGGATCTTACACGATGAACATGGAGGAGTTTGCTGAGAGTGCTGTGCATGCTGGGGTAATTCCGCCTCTGGTTGAACTTTTGAGGGGAAGGTTAACTTGGGTTGAGCAGAGGGTAGCTGTTCGTGCCCTCGGTCATCTGGCGACATATGCAAGTACTTTTCCTGCCGTGGCTAGTCATGCTGAGATACTTGAGCTCTCAATTCAACTGGCAATGAGTTCTCTTGAAATTGTTTATACTCACTTTTATCAGTATGTAGACAGAAGGCTTAGTTATCACTGTGATCTGCTTACTCGTGGAATGGGCGGAGTTGAGATGGAATCCAGGAAGGCGGAGGAATGGGCCAGTCAGTTACAGTGTTGGTCCTTACAACTCATCAATTGCTTTGCATTCAAACCCGAGTTTCTTCCGACTATATGCAAGCCTGAATTCCTAGTAAAGCTACCTGGCATGTGGGGCGGTCTTGTTAATGAAAATTCTCCAGCTGGTATCGGTTTATTAAGAACAATCTGCCATCATAAACTTGGCAGGGGACCTGTTGCTTGCTGTCCCAGTATTATTGAAGCATTGTGTAACATTGCCCGCTCTTCAGACGATTGGCAGTCTATGGCTATTGACTGTCTCATGTGGTTGCTTCAGGATCCAAATACAAGCCATAAGGTTGATATCCATCTCTCTTTGCTTTTCATGTTGTCAATGATGCTAGTCATCACAATTCCTGTCTGTTTCAGTGATTCTTTCTTGGAAATCTCTTTAAGATCTTCAAATACAGATTGCATTTAACATATTAGGCCCAATAACTTGGAAGTTTTTTCTCATCAAGTGTGGTTAATTGTGCCATTGTATCCCCAGGTGATCGACAAAGCCGCTCCTACACTTCTGGATCTTGCAGAGATATCATCCCTGGGTGATCACAGGAAACTGGGGGAATCCATAATTAATGTTCTTCAGGAATGTATCCAATCACAAGGGACCGGACGCAATTCTATTAGCAGTCGTACAAAGGAACAGATCGAAGAACTATTAAAATCAAGGCAGAGACTCAAGTGGGAAAAGAATATGCCAAAAGAGGATCTCCGAATCAAGCAAGCTGCAGCGCTAGTGATTAAGCTTGAAGGAAATTCCATGTTTTCATCAGGAAATATATCTGCAGCTGCATCCAAGTACTCAGAAGCTCTAGCATTATGTCCCATGAGATCCAAAAAGGAACGAGTCGTTCTGTACAGTAATCGTGCCCAGTGTTGTCTTCTGTTGCAGCAACCCTTGGCTGCCATTGGTGATGCCACACGTGCTCTCTGTCTTCACAATCCCGTAAATCGTCATGCTAAAAGTCTTTGGAGAAGAGCTCAAGCATATGATATGCTTGGCTTGGCTAAAGAAAGTCTATTGGATGCCATATTGTTCATAAACGAGTGCTCTCAGTCCAATGACCCTGATCTTTCGTTAAGGCAAAACAAGGTTCCTGACTACGCCGAGCGACTCGTTAAGAAGCAGATGCGTGCAGCTTGGTTATTCAGGGAGGCAGCTATTAAACATGGAAATGTCCAATGTGAAGATGGTGCTGGTGATGTCTATGGTAGAGAGACCGATGATTCTGAATGGGAAACAGCCAGTGAAAGTGATATCGGAAATGATGGAAGGGACGAAATGGGTGACGAAGAAGACGACGACGAAGACTGCGATTGGAAGGATGAAGATAAATACGATAAATCTTCAATCAAAGGTAACTTCGAACTCATTTATTCTGGGTAACTGAGATGCAATCTGTTGACTGCTACTGCTTTTTACAAGTTCTTGAATAGAACTTTGAATGAATTGTTGATTTGATACAGAGATGTAGCCATGGATTAAATGTGCAGCTTGCTGAGAACGAAGCATAAATTAGAGGAACCACAAAGCAGCTGTGAGCATTACATTAAGCAGGATCTGAAGAAATCATCTTTCTGATCATTCATTGTTCAAAAAGTAAAACTTGAATCTCTTTTTGTTCTTACTACTCATGATTTTGTTTTCCCCAAACTTAGTTTTCGATCAAATCCCCAACTGTAGAAAGTGAATTAGGAATGTCTAGAAGTTCTCTCCCCTTTTTTTCAGAGTGATTGATTTTTACAAGCCTGTGTACATACAGAATTCCCAGTGTTCTTTTATTTTTAAACTGCATATTCCAATCTTATCATTGATTCTCGTACATGAATATGCTGATTTCAGATTCCTTATAATCATAGATGACCCAAATTTATACCATAACTGTATCAAAATATTAACCAAATTTATACTCGAACCATATTCTAGAACCACCAAACCCGCATGGATAGTGCTGCAAGCGCAACATCAGCGGCATCCTTGGAACCGAAAATCAGTGGCATTGGCCACTGGGGTGCTTATGCGTTACCTCTCCCTCGGTATCTTCAAAACCGCCTCCTCAATCCTCTTCCGTCCATCCCTACTTCAGAACAATTTGATGCAGAAACAAGTTGCAAAAAGAAGCATCCAACCTTGGAAAGCTACCTCTTTGGCCATAGGGAACTCGCCACTATCCCATATTCTAATATACATATGCACACAGAACTCTCTTATAATTAGAATAATGAGTACTTCGCACACAAAAATTGCTACTTTATGAGAAGCTGTAGCTGTAAAGTTCCTTAGAATAACTAATATCATTGGGGAAAATTCGATAAGGGCGAGATCTTCTGCCATTGTTGATAAGGTTCAAACTCAAACCCTCAATTCTTTTTTCTTTTTTACTGACGTGTTGCCCACCAATTGGGTCTTCTTTAGCTCTATCCTTGTCAGTTCATGAGTCCAAAATCAAATCTTTGGCGAATATAAAACTAAAGCCAACGAGAGGGAAGAGGCCGACCCTTCTCAACCAGCTATATTGTGCTTTGCTTTGTAATTTTGTATCAGTTGAAGATCTTGATATGGATTCTTCGATCTGTGTTGCAATTTGGCATAAATGATTATACAAATGATTCAATTGATTTCATATTTGATACTTGTAAGATGGTGGGCAAAACCAATGAGCTAAAGGTTATACAACTTGAATCCATGAGCCAAAAGACCCATTAATTTAAGAGCAGAAACCTCAATACAACTCTCTTCTGTGATTGGAAGAGACAAGAGGTCGGCTAAGTGTCATTTTCATGGATAATCGAGGTATGGTGAAGGATCAAAAGGGCTTATTATAATCAAAGAAATCTTCACTGCTATCTCTCTTGTAGATTACAAGTGATTTAGTGGAAATTTTTTAGGCATATAATGGACATGGAAGTAGCTTCCTTCAAAACAAGCACTAACTTCCCTCTATAAGTATTTTTAGGAGTCCATAATCCTTCTTCACCACACACACAAAAAAAACCCCTTTGATCCTAACTTGCTCTCTCTCTCAATAATGGGTGCCGCTCAAAAACTCTGTTCCTTCAGCTGCGAAATCAGAATCCTACAAGCCAAAAACATAGAGTTCATATCTCCAAAGAATCTCTTCGTTAGATATTATCTTTCTGCAGGCAACAACAAGAGGATTCGTCTGAACACGAAGCAAACCTCTTCCAATTCCGAGTTCATATGGAACGAGTCTTTCTGTTTGGAGTGTTTGGGTTCAGAAGACTCCATCCAGAGCCTCAAACAAGCAACCGTCGTCTTCGAGCTCCGGCGGGCTAAAACCCAACATGTTTTTGGCAGACTTTTCGGGTCGTCGTCGTCGTCTCAACTTCTGGGTAGGGCTGAGATCCCTTGGAATCAGGTTTTTGAATCGCCAAACATGGACATTGACAGATGGGTGTCGTTGGTTTCTGCTAATAATGGGTCTGTTCGTGAAGGCTTTAAGCAACCGAAATTGAAAGTGGGGATGAGAGTGAGAGTTGCAGCAGAAATGGAGATGGAGAAAAAGAGGAGATTGAGGAAGTGGAGCGATGAGTGTGGATGTGAATCCAAAGTGGGGCATTTCTGTGGGGATCATGAGTTCTTCGCCCTTGCTGCTGCCATGGAATTCTTGTAGCCATAAAACCGTCGTTGCTTGTAAATTTTGAAGAGATACCATATTCTTGAATCTTTCTAACAGTACAATACTTGGCATTTTCCAACCATCTTGTATCTCAATTTATTACCACTATATTTGAGACCCTTTTGATATGTTTTCTTGTGTTCTAAACCATTAACAAATTGGACCAAATTTCTGAAATTGACATATATTGAGGCATCCCACTTGCAAAAATGGACTCTCATGGTGATTTTTCAAAGGCAATATTTAAAATATTATAGTTGGTAGTGGGTCCAACATAGGGAAAAGGAGCACGTGTCTGTGAAACGGGACAGCGCCACATATTATTTAAGCTAAAGCTAACAAATTTCCCCAAGTATGTTGTGTTTCAAAATTCAAGATCTTCGCTTTTATCGATTCTTATTTTTCAATTGAATTCAATTCCGACTTTTCAAAATCACATCCACAATATCTTCAAAACCCACAAAGCTTCTCACTCGCTCTTCCCTCTCTGTTCATCAGTTTCGCGAGCAAATGGATAGAACGAAATCGACCACAAAATCACGCCCATCCACCGCGGATCTGCTCACCTGGTCGGAAGTTCCCCCGCCAGACTCTTCCCTCGCCGTCTCCGGCTCCGCCACTCGCTCCCACCAGGTATTATATTATACCCTCTTCGCTATGAGCATTCTTTTTGGTTCTTTAGTTTTTGGACAGCTTGGTTTTGAGGCTTTTGGTACACTTTCTCAGCCGTCCGATAGAATCAGTAAAGTGCTCCAAGGGGGTCAGCTCACAGATGAAGAAGCTGAGGACTTGTTGAAAAAGTAAGATCCATTTCCTTTATGCCAAAATTTACCCAAAAAAAAAAACCTGGGATTTGAGTGTCGTGGTGAAACTATTGCAATGTCTTGGCTGATTTTCTGTTTCCCTCTTCGAGTGTTACTGTTTGAATGAAATGGAAAACGAGAGCTCGCCAGATCTCCCAGCTATGAACTTCAGTTCATCCTTTTCTTTCTATTTGTGTTCTTCAGCTAATTTCTACACCGTTTCATGTTCTAGGATCCTGATATTTAGTGCTCTAACATCGTACGATTGTTGTAATTAATGTTATAACATTTCCTACCTCTGTGTCTGGGTTGCTTTCCTGATGTTTTGTTCAATTGATGGACTACAATCTTGTTTCTCAAACAGTCAACAGTTCAAAGGCAACGTTTATGACTATTCTTCTTCTACTTGTGTTGAAAACTCGAGTTCTTCTCCACTATTTTCAGGAAGAACTGTTCGGGGTATAAAATGAAGGAAATGACTGGAAGTGGAATTTTTGCATCTAATGGTGAAGGGGATGCATCGGAATCTGATAATAAAACAGGGCTTCGCATGTATCAGGTAAGCAATACACTGAAGTCAATTTAGAAAATGCATCAAATCGACAAGAACCCATTGTGATTCTTTGTAATATTTTGGATGGTTCAGCAAACTTTGAGTGGAGTTAGCCAAATATCCTTCGCTACTGAGGAGGGGGTATCTCAGAAAAAGCCTACTTCAATTCCAGAGGTGGCAAAGCAACGTGAGTTAAGTGGGACATTGCAGAGTGATTCTGATGCCAGGAGTAAGAAGCAGACATCAGATGCTAAGAACAAGGAGCTTAGTGGACATGACATCTTCGGAGCTCCACCTGAAATAACACCACGATCGTTGGCAGCCTCGCGGAGCTTGGAGTCGAAAGAAAGTAAAGACATGGGTGAACCAGCACCTAGGACCCTGAGAACATCTGTTAAAGTTTCAAATGTGAGTCTACTTCTTACCGTGATCTTGAATTCACTTCTTGCTTCTATGATTGTCTTTGCTTTCGATTTTGTTTGCCTTAGTTGAAGAATTTAAATGGTTATTCAGGCGTGCACGTTTCCATTCAGTTGTCTTTGTGTTTACTCTTTCGTATCAAGGCTACACAAGATTCATTTTAGCTTTAGCATTGATGAGATAACTTCTCTTTTTTCTCTATCTTGATAGTGTTTTTGTAAGATCTCACATTGGTTGGAGAGGAAAACGGAACATTCTTTATAAGGGTGTGGAAACCTTTCCTGCGTTTTAAAAACCTTGAGGGGAAATCCGAAAGGGAAGACCCAAAGAGAACAATATCGGCTAGCGGTGGGCTTGGGCTGTTACCGTTTTTTACCTTGAAAGCTGAAACATTTAACTCATGTTGAATCCCCCCATATTAATGAATGTTGAAGTGTTTTTTCCAATCTGATAATCCCACGACTACTTTTTTTCGTTCTAGAGAGTTGTACTGGATTGGAAGTAGATTTCCATAGGTCTCGACTTGATCTTTCATATCCTTGCCTCTGAGTCATAGTGCTCGAAATGAAGTTGGTTTGTTGTCCATCTTTACAGCCTGCTGGAGGCCAGAGTAACATCCTGTTTGGAGAAGATCCAGTGATGAAAACAGCTAAGAAACTACACAACCAGAAGTTTCAAGAGTTGACTGGTAATGATATATTTAAAGGAGATGCTCCACCGGGTTCATCCGAGAAATCGCTGAGCTCGGCCAAGCTAAGGGAGATGAGCGGAAACGACATCTTTTCTGATGGGAAGGCGGAATCAAGGGACTACTTTGGGGGTGTTCGTAAACCACCCGGTGGTGAAAGCACCATTGCTTTAGTTTAATCTTAGCTCCTAACTTGATTTGAATAGTTGGACATTCTTGTCTGTGTTTCTACTTGAACTTCTAATGTTGTTTCACTGATCACTTGCACTTATAGCCTAGACTTGGGTAGCGAAAGATTGTGGTATGCTTTGTTTAAAATCTCTGGTTTCGATCGTTAAAAGGAAATCCAGGCTTTGACTGATCGTTGTATATTCCTTTCAACTGTTAGTAGACAATTTGAAAGGACGCTTCATCTTTTCATTGATTGATTGACAAAAATCAATTTTGTAGGAACTTCCATATTTGCAAAGGTCCCACCAGACATCAAATTAATGTCCGAATCACACTAATCAGTAGAACACCAAATAAGCTGCTAATTTAGAGCCATGCTTTGACTATGAACTAGAAAAGATAAACTTCGATTAAGGAAAGTACATCAAACAGGATTATTACCCTTTATTATCATGTCAGTGTCGTAAGTTACTAAAAAGGAAACATGAACCAAACCTTAAAAACACTACAGGAAACGTAGTCCATATTTGTACGGTGAAAAACCAGATTCCCACCTTTGTCTTCCAGGAAATTTCAAAACTCTGTTCAAACACAATTAGTAAAATGAATTAGAACTTCAAAAGGCAATATTTCATCAACATTCAGTTCCGGAATATTGTAGAATAGGAAATGGTGGATATCTGGAAAGGACTAAAAGCAATATTACTCTTTCCTTCAAGAATGAACTCCATTCTTGACATGAGGATATCAGAAACTAGGCCTGAACTTGAACTGTGCTATGGCCGCAGCTTCCTCGACTGTTACTGGATTTCTTGGGGAGAGTCATTCGGTGCATTCGCAATTTTACCATTCAGCTTTTGCTCATATGCAGCTACATGAACACCCAATGCAGCACGACCAGAGGGATCCAGATTTTTCGACCATGCGGCATCCCATTCCACTGCTTTTGCAGTACTGCATGCCACACTTGGACCTCCTGGGACCGTTGATCTAGCAGCATTCTGTTGTAAATTAAGAATTTAATGCATCAGGGTTTTGTTTGATTAGTGGATAAAGTGTGTCAAAGGCTGTCAAAATTCACACTACAAACATATCGTAAAAAACAAGAAAAACAGCACCTTAGGGAAGAATTTCTCAAATATTGTCCGGTAATAATATGCTTCTTTTGTAGCAGGAGTATTCTCTGGGTAGATAAAGTTTGCATTCATCAACATCGCATCAGTCACCTGATGAGGACAAAGCATGTGAGCAAAAACCATATGAACATTTCAACTGCTACAATAGTGAGACAGATTAAGATAAAGCTTACTTGTTTCTCTGCGTGGTCCTTCAAACCGTCAATCCAACTGTATCCAACACCGTCACTGAATTGTTCTTTTTGCCTGTATAATATGTGCTATAAAGAAGGGAGGGGAGGGGAGGGGTTGGGCATATTCAATATTCTTCCTTGCGTAAAGAACAAATGATAATTCGATGCCTTGATTTCAAAAGAAAGCATAGATTTCAGGCTGCTCTGTTGAACACATAGAAAAGACAGAAGCTACCTTGGGCAAATATGGTTCCTTCTCATCGTCAAATGCATTGCGCAAGACCCACTTCTCTATTCTCCCAAGATCAGGCCTGATCTGCGGTTATAAATTCATAGCAAGTAACTAGTGTCATAAACTTTAATCATTGATGATGTTGTTCCAACAAAACATGTACAAGAGAGCTTTCTGATAGAGAGATGAAATGAGTTGAAGAATTGAACACCAAAAAAAGAACATGCAAAGTGTAATAAACAAACAAAATGTACCATTTTCCAATCAGGATCTATGCTCATGGCTGTACTTATAAATTCTTTATCAAGAAAAGGGACACGAGCCTCGACACCCCATGCTGAGGTTGATTTGTTGGCCCTCAAACAGTCGTATAAATGAAGAGCTTTAATCTGATAACATCAGAAGAAAATAAATTAGAACAAATAAAAATAAACAGTAACCTCCAAAATGTTGAGAAAGAGGGAAAAGGATACCTTTCTGCATGTTTCTTCATGAAACTCTTTTTTGTTTGGTGCCTTATGAAAGTACAAGTAACCTCCAAAAATTTCATCTGAACCTTCGCCAGAAAGAACCATTTTCACTCCCAAAGATTTGATTTTCCGGGACATAAGGAACATAGGTGTGCTAGCTCTGATAGTGGTCACATCGTATGTCTCAATGTGGTAAATCACTTCCTCAAGTGCATCTATACCTTCCTGATATGGATGAAAAGGCAAAGCACAAACACATTATTTGGTAGTGAACATTTCAGAATGGATTTTCAATTGATCCCAGAAAAAGTAATTACCTGCACGGTAAAGTGGAACTCATGATGACGAGTTCCAAGGTAATCAGCTACCTCTCTAGCAGCACCAAGATCAGGAGACCCCTGAATACGATAAAAGAAAGAAATATGACTTCGCTCAATAGGGGTTAGTTCTACAACATTTACAGAGGCAATAAAAAAAACAACCTTACTTGCCTCGTTATCTTACCTTCAATCCAACGCAGAAGGTGTGTAATTGTGACCCCCACTGATTAGCTGCTTCAGAATCAGCCAAATTCCGGCAGGCAACAGCAGCAACCAGTGATGAATCCAATCCTCCAGATAAAAGGACTCCAAATGGCACATCTGTCATGAGTCTTTTAGTAACAGCCTACACAATCAAAGTACAGTAGGAAAGCTTAGAATATAAGACATTCCAATGACTCATCAATTAAAATAGATACATTTAGAAACCAAAAAGCAGCCAGTTTTAGATTTAAAGTTCCGTATAAAATAGTAAGCATCAAACGCTGACAATGGCAGAAACTCCTTGAAGAAGAAGATAGTCTGATAATCTAAAATTGAGTAAATCCAGAACGTGCCTTCTCAAATGCCTTACGTAGAACCAAAGGATCATAGTGACCTGATGGTACCATCTCTGTGTACCACTGAGGGTTATACCATCTTCTTAAGCCTCCTACAAACATTTGAAATCCACCATTTAGTAATGAATATCAAGAATTAACATTACACTTATGCATACCTTATGAACTAGAATTACTGTAGTCGGGGACATAACATTACTCCTATGAAAACTGGAACTGCCATAGTTGGGGGAAGAAGATGCATACCTTGTTTGCTGGAATATATATGACCAGGAAGAAAAGAAACAAATCTCTCACAATCATCACTTAGAGCTTTCATTTCAGAAGCAAACCAGATTGATCCTGGGAAGAAGGTAGCAGACATATATTTTCAAAGATCAATCCGTAAAACAGGAAATAGTAATGTGTGTAGAGAAACATGAATTATCAATTGGAGAGTTTCCTCACTGCAACTTGAGGTCACAAATCACATGTATAGTGTGAAATTACATACCATCAAGACCCCATCCCATATATAATGGGGTGATCCCAATAGCATCCCTAGCTGCAATAAAAGTTTTGGTACGAGTATCAAGAAGGACGAAGGAAAACATGCCATCCAACATGTCCACAAACTCTTCTCCATATTCTTCATACTGGAAAATATAGGCGTTACGAATAGAAAAGCTAAAAACAATCAAATGATCTCAATAAGTTGTTGGCTACTAACAAGGTGTGCAATCACTTCACAGTCACTGCCAGTTCTAAATTGGTGACCCTTGAGCTTCTCTCTCAATTCCTTGTGGTTGTAAATCTCTCCATTAACCTAGTACATGGTTCACACCATCATTTAAACTGACAAACAGTATATGGTAGATTTGATCCATGGTCATATGAATATCAGGTCTTTCTATCAAATATCTGAAACATGCTTTGTTTTTTCTTAATAAACCAAAAACGGGGTTGATTTGATACTATTACCGTAACAACGATGGTCTTGTCTTCGTTGTAAAGGGGTTGATCCCCGGAAGTGGGGTCTACAATAGCTAATCGTTGATGAGCAAGAAAACAGTTCTCAAAACAATGCAAACCACTCCAGTCGGGACCTCTATGGCGCAGCCTGCAGTTCCAAACAATTCAAAACAAAAAAACATCGATCAATATAAAACAATCCCCTGTTTCCAAACAAATAACTCCAGGGAATGAAAAAAAAAAAAAAACAAAAAAACAAAAGTAAACCATATTTGGAACAAAACAGCTGCCAGAAAGCTGTGCAGAGTATCTCATAAAACAAAAGTCGTAGCGTTTATTTGGCATTGACATGAATGTAAGAAATGCTAGAAAAATGACCTCCGAGACAACTCGATGATTCGGGAGCGCTTGGCCTGAGAGCTGTCGACGCAGCTAAGAACTGCGAGGATTCCACACATGACGGAAGCTCCCTCGTCCACTCAGAAGCTCAACTGTGCAGAAGGGGATAGAGAATCTAAGCTAAAGTAAGGCTGCGAAACTGGTCGAGTTTATACAAAATTTCAATCGCGGCCGTTGATTGCGATCCCAATTCCCACAAGATTCTCTTTCCAATTACTGTGATTTTATTCAACGCTTAGGGCCTCGAGCGTTGATGGGACGGGCAGTAGGAATATTAAATAAATAGTTTCGGCCACAGTCACGGACCCAATCCGGTAAAACTATCCAAAAAAAAGTAAAATAATAATAATAATAATATGAATTTGTGAGATTCTACCTTCCAACCATTCTTTATAAGGTATAGAAAATACTATAAAAAAATAATAATAATATGAATTTGACCAACCATTCTTTATAAGGTATAGAAAATACTATAAAAAAATAATAATAATAATAATATGAATTTGTGAGATTCTACGTTGACCGTAAAGAAAATTTTCTATATATGCAATTAGTAAATTTAGGTCGTAAATATTAAGGCGGAGGTAAAAGAAATACACCCACTTCGTCTTTATTTGTTGCCTGACGCCTGTGGGATCGCGATTACAAAGAATAAGCGTCTTGGGCAGACGACGTCGTATCAACTGCGAGACCTCCCCTGGGGTTCCAGATTATAAGGCAGGAACTGCATCTGCTCGCACCTTGTCGACGCATACGAGAGTTTGCAGTGATGGCGTCGATAGCTGCAAAGAAAAGGCCTAAAGATGCGGCAACTAGTGCCGATCAAATGAGCAAGGGAATTTTGCTTTACTCAATTTTACTTGCTCTACAGTATGGAGCTCAACCCCTAATCTCCAAGCGATGTACGAGGTACTCTCTCGGTTTTTTCTGTTCTTTCAATCTTTGTGCTTTTTTTAATTAATATTCCTTGTGGAGAAGGGGGAATGGCAAGAAAAATAAAAATAGATAACTATCTGGGTTTTGCGCCTTCAGTTTGAATTTCAATTATAGCTATGTATTTATGAGCCCCGAATGGTTCTTTGGATTTGAAATTCACGTGTTGAATTGGAGACTCACTATTTTGATGATAGTTTTAATAGTTTTATGTTGGGGGCATTTTTTCACTCTGAAATCTGTTCCCAAGGTGTACAGACAAAATAATTTATAATCTGAACGCTGTTACACGAATTGGGACTTTTCTTATGTGTATCGATTGGTTTTGGGAACTCAATTTGGGTGATTAAAATTATTATTTTCTTTCTTCGCGCGTTTTTTTTTTTTCATGATGCTTCGGATGATCCTTTTCCTAAGGTGCACCATCTTAATCCCTCATATCCATAGCAACATTTAAAATCTTGACTTGTTTTCATGAAATCCTTTAGCTTTTTGTTTTCAGTGTTTTGTGCAACTTTCATTTTCTTTTGTAATGGATTGAACTTGTTTTGGGATTTTTGTCTCGCATAATGGTAATTGTTTTCTGCTGTTCTGCACGATGTCAACTCATATGATAACTCCCTGCAGACGAGAAGTTATTGTCACTTCATCCGTCTTAACTTGTGAGATAGTGAAGGTATTACTCTATTACATTTTTTTATTTTTATTTTTTTTTATCATTGACTATGTTTTGGTACAAGGTCTACTTTCTGCATTTATACCTTAAAGAATTTTTGGTCTGCAGGTCGTATGTGCCCTGGTTATCATGGCAAAAGAAGGTAGTTTAAAGAAAACTTTTAGTCAGTGGACTGTGGCTGGTGCGTTGACTGCTTCAGGACTTCCTGCAATTATTTATGCTTTACAAAATAGTCTGCTGCAGATAGCTTACAAGAATCTTGATTCTTTGACATTCTCTATGCTGAATCAAACAAAAATACTCTTCACTGCTGTATGCACTTATTTGTTGCTCAGGTGTGTGCCAATGCTTCTTCTGTCTTCTCAAAATCATAATGGAATGCCTAATTTTTCAATGGACTGATGATGAATTTATGATGTACTATGACATACTTCTTGCTATCCTAATAACTTTTTCGCGTTGCAATTGCAATATGTAAGTACTTGTATAACTTTTTACGTTGTTCTTGTATAGCCTGTCTGTATTATTCCTGCTGTAGAGAGGACCAAGACCTGTACTTCAGTTTCTTTAATTGACACGCACAAACTCTAACCATCTTTCCTTTCTCCCCTTGGATGCATGAAAATCTAGAACTTATTGAAAAAGTAATTTTAGAACGACAATCTGTTCCATAGATTTGGGATGGCAGTAGCCAGTGATTAGAAGGCCATGCAGCCTCAGCTTTTCTAATCTCCTTCTATGACTGGGAACAGTGCAGCTAGTGATGTACTATAATCATTTCTGATTAGAGCATAATATCTCAAACAATTTCTTACAACTTACTTGGCGTAGTATTTGGTTTTATGTATAGGCAGAGGCAGTCCATCCAACAAATTGGGGCTCTATTCTTGTTGATTGTTGCTGCTGTTCTTCTAAGTATAGGTGAAGGGTCTAGTAAGGGTTCCAGTGATGGCAGTTCTGATCAAATTTTGTTTCATGGGATTATTCCTGTCTTGGTTGCTTCTGTACTCTCCGGTATGGCTTCTGCATTGTGTCAATGGTCTTCGCAGGTGTGTCGAGGTTTTTTTTTTTTTACTTTATTTAGATACCAATCTCCAAGAAAAAAATCTAATGATTATGTGCTTGCTCCTTTCTGATCAAGTGTTTTCCTTCTATTACAGGTTAAGAAACATTCATCATACTTGATGACTGTAGAAATGTCTATAGTTGGAAGTCTGTTCTTATTGATTAGTACATATAAATCTCCTGATGGAGAAGCTATCAGACAGCATGGTTTTTTCTACGGTTGGACTCTTCTCACTATGGTAATTAAGACTCTTCTCAGCTACCAGACAGCTAATCACTTGCAGCAGCTGGAGATATCCATTTTTCGTTTTTAGTTGATGCAATTTCTTTTTGTCGTTTTGTTTCAGATTCCAGTCTTATTCAATGCTCTTGGTGGAATTCTTGTTGGACTAGTCACTAGCAGAGCCGGTGGTGTTCGAAAGGCAAGTTCTGAATTGGTCTTTCTAACCCCTCAGATTGTTCTTGAACGTAGTCTCCAAGGATATGAACCTCGCTAACATTGTTTCATTCTCACCACATGCATGCTCTAAATTTATGCTGCTATGTTTTTTTTTTCTTTTGGATGAAAATTTTGTGTCCACTTATCTTGGGAAATTTCATCATGGTTGCAGGGATTCGTCATTGTGTCGGCACTTCTTGTGACAGCATTGCTGCAGTTCATATTCGAAGGGAAACCACCTTCAGTGTATTGCATTGTGGCTCTTCCCCTCGTGGTCAGTAGTATTTCTATATATCAAAAGTATCCGTACCGAGTTAAAAAGAAGGAACTATAGCCTCTGACTGTTATTTACCTGAGCATGACATTTTTGGTTCATCACATGGATGGAATTTGTAGATGGATCACACCGTCAAAACTACAGAAATAACTATATCTTCTTGTTTTAGTCATCTGATTGATATAATTGTAGTTAATATGTGGGCACCAAATACTTGATTTCATCAAATTTATAGATTTTTGTATCTGGATTTGCAACTAAGAGCTGTAATCGGTATGAATATGATCATCATTTCATTCTTTTGTCTGGATGAGCATTGGAGAAGTGAAGATTGCATTAGCCAATAGGCTTAGGCTTTAACATTACATAAATAAATTGAAGATGATCGAAGGAGACTCGACTCGACTCCCAAAATTAGGTTGGGTGGCACACTCTACCACATAGCCTAATAGTGTGTTGCGCCTACGTTGAGTATTGCGACTCCGGTTCCCTTTACAAGTAAGGGGAGGCATCATCCGGGCCAATGAGAAACATTACTTTTTATTTTTTTTTTTACATTTATAATACACTTTATTACACGAAAAAATAATAATAATTTTAATGTAAAAAGTTATGGTTATGCTTATGAAACGTATGTAGTGTTAGAAACGTTACTGGTGAGGGCATATTTGAAACTCTTGTACTAAAAAAGGGGAAAGGGGGCATTTGGAACTCTGGAAATGGGCGTGAGAGGAGCGAACAGTGCGGGCAACGCCATCTGAACTAATACAACGTGGGCTTTGCATTTAATCAAAACTAATTACTCTATTTATTATTAACAAATGTGGCCATCCAAAATTGACCAAAAAAATTAAAAAAATAAAAACAAGAAAGGGAGGCCGAAATGAAAGGACGAGGGTCGAGTTTGGCGCGCCCACGCAGTGCAGGGGAAGGAGGATAAAAGCTCAAATTAGTTTAACTTTTTAAACATTTGACTTTCGCGTCTTCTCCTGCGTGCAGGTGTGCGTGCTGCTGCGCCACCCGGAGAGAAACCAACTTTTAAAAAAAACTTCTAAGCGATTATCCATCCTGATTTTTCTTTCCTCCCAGAATTTCCTTTTCCGCGGTTTGCTTTAGATCTATCTTCTTGCTCCACTTTCCTTTGAATTTTCACCGATACACCCTCATTGCCTTCATGGCGACGGTTTCTCCTCTCGCCAAGTACAAGCTCGTCTTCCTCGGCGATCAATCCGTTGGTAAAACCAGCATTATCACCCGCTTCATGTACGACAAGTTTGATACCACCTATCAGGTCGTCTTTCTAATTGCCTTGCATCTTATTTTCTTCATTTTATGCGTCTTTTTTTCCTCTCGCCTATTTTGATTCGGTAGTTTGATAGAATAGGTGTTTGCTTCTGGAAATGACTTTCTTTGACGCATCTCTGTTTCCATATATATCTGAATCCTGATAGAAATTTCTGGGAATTCATGTGGATCCGAGTTATGTGGCGTTGTTTCTAATCGTGTTTGTTTAGGTGGTCACATGGAAAACGTAGTCGGTTATATTTACGAATTTCATCAACGCCTTTGACGACTCGTGTTTCTAAACGGTGATTGATCTTTTTGCAATCGATCAGATTTACCGAATGATTCAGATTACTCTGTTGATTCATCCACATCTGGTGGCTACGAACATTCTTTTTTTCGTCAAATGGAAACGTTCTTTGTTTTCTGTGTAAAAACTACGTAGAACAGGGGAAAAGAATGGGAAATTGCCTCTAATATGGTTGACTATATGCACTATCAGATTATCTAGCGTTCATTAGATCCGAGAGAGGGAGAGGAGAAGATGGTCCATACCTTAAAAAGTAAATATATTTCAGGGCTGTGTAGTTTGAAACGCTTAAAATTTCTCATACCTTAACTACGCGTCGTCAGTGTACTTGGTACTCTGCTTGTGGACCTCCTTTCTTTATGCTGACATAAACTTTATTACAGGCTACAATTGGAATTGACTTCTTGTCCAAAACAATGTACCTTGAAGATCGAACAATTCGGTTGCAGCTTTGGTATGATGTGTTTATTTCTTTCCGATCATTTACTGAAGATTGATTTACCTATCGGTTTTGTTTCCCCATCCAGACTCTTAGGATTACAATTTTGATTCTTTTCAATGTGTTGTAGATTTCTGATTCTTTTCAGTCCGATATGCATCCATTGACTAAGATCCTACAGAATTGTGAGAAATACAAATGGGTCACCCTAAACTTTTCTTTTCTTCTTTTGATGCACTGGCTTAGATAGAGTTTACTGTAATCATAGAACATGAAATTTGTTGCATCAAATTACCAAGAGAAAGCTGATAGGCCATATCGATTTGACCTTGCACATTATTTGTCAATTCAGATATTCGAACATGACATTTATATGTTAATTGATATGAATACGATTTTTTCTATACCCCTAATACTTACCATTCCACAGGGATACTGCTGGACAAGAAAGATTTAGGAGTCTCATTCCAAGTTACATAAGAGACTCCTCTGTTGCAGTAGTAGTCTATGATGTATCTAGTTAGTACTCTCTCTGTATTTTCTTGATGCATTTTAGTTAGTTGTAGTTGATGTGCTTATAAACTTTGGTGTGAAAACGTTCATACGCAGATAGACAATCGTTCTTGAACACCACCAAGTGGATTGAGGAGGTACGAACAGAACGGGGTAGTGATGTGATCATTGTTCTTGTTGGGAACAAAACTGATCTTGTTGAGAAAAGGTGAGAAATGAATTTTTATAATGAACAAAATTGATATTTTTGAGAAAAAAATTGAGGAATAAACTGTAACCTTTATTTAGGATATACATTAGGATCAGTAGTGTACTTCGAAGATCAGTTGTAGAGTGATTGAATCTAAACTTTTTTGAGAAGGTTGGAGGCTGCGTTAGGGGCACGAGCTCTGTGTGCACTTTGTTTAAATTGATGAGAAGGGATTTGAGCTGATCTTAGTTGTTGTTGGCCTTCGATTGAATGTACCCAAGATCTACACTGACAATTCTTAACTCCTACGAAATTGTCAGGAAATTTTGAGCTTAGTTTCTATTTCATATTTATAAATGATGAATAGACTTCCCTAGTATGCGGGTATAGAGGAGCAAAGTTCTGACTCCCGGTTATCCAAAAAAAAATATAGACTTTGCTAGCGTCTATTGACACCCTTGTCCATATTTCAGAAGTTCTCTCTAAGTACTGTTTGTTTGGAGACAAATTCAGGCAAGTTTCAATCGAAGAAGGTGATGCCAAATCACGGGAGTTTGGAGTCATGTTTATAGAAACTAGTGCCAAAGCTGGGTTCAACATCAAGGTAACGTTATCTTATGATTTCTGAAACGTGAAACCACAAATCCAAAATCCCCCCTGTACCTTTCTGTTCTCAAAGCACGAAATTACGAATCCTCACTAAATTTGCAATAGTTTCTCTTCTTTGGTCGGTCTGTAGTAGTTTTGACTTAATTTGTATTGAAACAAATCTTGCAGCCTCTCTTTCGTAAGATTGCTGCAGCACTGCCAGGGATGGAAACTCTGTCATCAACAAGGCAGGAGGACATGGTTGACGTAAATTTGAAACCCGCAGTGAACTCATCCCAGACGGAACAGCAAGGAGGAGGTTGTGCATGCTAGATGATATGTAAGTTCAATACATAAAGCAAAAAAAAAAAAAAAAAAAAAAAAAAAAAAAAAAAAAAAAAAAAAAAAAAAA